CCTACGGAGCCTTGAAAAGCTGCCTTTAACCACCCAGAGATTTTCCTTCCAGCACTAAAATTTGCTCCCGGAAAGAGAGTAAGACAGAAGCAGAACTGGAATAAACCTTCCACATATACTGTGTTCCAGGAGCTGTGATGGCGGTTTATAAACATGATCTCACTTCATCATCACAAGGTAGCAATTATTCATCCAGTTTTCAGGTGAGGTTAAATAACTTGAATAAAGTCAAAGAACTCATAAAATAACATTGTTAGGATTCTAACCCAAAGCCTTGTTTTTCCTACTAGTTCTAGATGATCATTAACAAAAATGGCTTGACTATTTCCATTTCCAACCTCTATCCCAAGGTTCTCCAAATTTTGTAGAGTTTGGTGGAGTTCTGAGCAGCAGCTCCTTTGAACTTCATAGCTCCCTTTTTAAAATTAAGTTATTATGGCGAATCTGTCCATTCTTTGGTTTGGGGGTCCTCTTATTCTGTCTCTTTCTCTTTTCTCCTCTTTTCTTCCCTCTCTATATTTTTCTCCTTTCCTCCTTCCATCTTTCTTCTCATCTCTCCCTCAAATACACAGTTCTGACTGATCACTGGGTCCTTAGCTCACCTGCCCTTATGGGAATTTTATTTATCATAATTTGCTACAAAGAGATGACAGGTGCTCCATGCAGTTCTCTATGATGGACCCCGGTGACCACCATTATTAATAATAACAAATAATTATTGCCAAAACTAGCATTTATTAGGTGCTGAACTAAATACATACATTTTCTATCTTAATCTTCACGACAATCTTATGAGTCAGGTAGTCTTCTGCATTCCCACTTTACAGATGAAAAGGCTGAGGCACAGAAAAGTTAACACTGACCAGAGTCACAGTCGGTAAGTAGCAGAAAAAGATCTGAACTGTTATCATTGTGGTCTATTTTCCTTCAGTACATTTTTTTTGGATAGGCAGATGGACACATATTTACACCAAATGGTGGCATAAGACTGTAGTTTTACATTCCACTTTTTTCACTTAACATCATACTATGAGCGTTTTCCCATGCTATTCACTATCCCTTGATAAACTGATTTTTTTTTTTTTTAATGGCTGCATAGCATCCTGTTGTATGGGTCAACTGCAATGTACTCAACTCTTCCTCTATTATTATTAGTGAATTTTTAGGTTGTTTCTCTTTTTTCTTTTCTCTTTTGCTACTACAAATAACAAAATAAGACATGTATGTGTGTATATATATATGTGTGTGTGTGTATATGTGTATATATATCTTTATCTACTTTTAAAATTATTTCTTTAGTCAATTCTATATTTGAGGTTACTGGATTTTTAATGTTTTAGATGTATATGGTTAAATTCTTTTCCTAAAGGGTTGTACCGAAATTTATATTCCCATCTCAATGTTCTCGATGACATTGAGTATTATAGATTTTTAATCATTATCAATTTGACAGGTAAAAATAATATTGCATTGTTACTTTAATTTTTATTTTTTATTCCTAGAGAGGTTTAAATTTTTGCATATTTATTCATCATCTGAGTTTTTCTGAGAGTTGTCTATTTCTTTAAGATGTGTTTTTCTTATAAACTGCATCATTCCATACACATTAAAAATTTCATTTGTGGCAAAATTATTTTGTTGGTGTGTAACCTGCCACATAATTACATTCATTGTTTCCTTATTTGAAATTCAGAATTTATTTTCAGGGGTGAAATTCAGTAGTCCAAGTCCAACATTATCTCACCAGGCAAGGCCACCACGACATCTGTATTAAATCTTCTCGTGGTCAGATGAATTTGTTTTTAGAGAATCTTTGACTAAGTTGTTTTAGAAAAATGTGAAGGTCATTATCACAGTTTACCAAATACATCAGCTTCTTTTCTTTCTGGGCACGTGGCAGGGCTGCGATTCCTTGCCATCCTTAAGAACGGATTTGCAATTTGACTTGTTTTGAGCAGTGAAAGGTGAGCGGAGGGAGTGTCCCTTCTAGATTGATGTTTTTGGAGCAGAGCGAGGTGACTTTTCCCATTCCCTTACCTTTTCTATGGCAATCTTGGGAGCATGTGACAAGATAAAGCCTCCTATCACCTAGATACCTGAGTGGCGTCGAGAAAAGCCCCCTTGCTAATATACTTTGAACATGAGTGTGATTAAGGAAACAACTTTTGTTGCACTAAGACACTGCGATTTGGGGGCTGCTTCACTGCAGCATAACCTAGGCTCTTCTGATCTCTACGTGGGCACCACTCACTACTATCTTTTTTCCTTCTAGCCTGGGCAACGGCCAAGCTCCATACAATGGTTTCTCCAACAGCCTGGATGCCAGACCACAACCTAGCTACCCTGACAACAATAGAAATGTATGTGGATGACAGGCTATGTGTCTAGGATTGCCAGTTGAATACAGAATGTTCATTTAAAATTGGAATCTAGATTTAAAAACATACAATTTGTAGTATAAGTGTGCCCCATGAAATATTGGGGAAATGCTTATACTAAAAAATTATTCCGCCTTTGTCTGAACTTCAAATTTAACTGATGTCCTCTATTTGCATTTGTGAAATCTGGTCACCCTTTATATGATTCCTTTAATATCTCAAAATGTCTTTGGGATTTTTCATCCATTAAGGACCTTTTCCCTGGGCCACAAGCTTTTTCCTTCCAGACCTCTCTTCATGGTTGTCATTCCATTATCTACAGGCATTTAGCATTGCAAAGAATTCTAAGACCAGTCTGACTTTTATTTTTATAGGATATATTTGTCCTTAAAATAAAAAATATAAAGCATGTGTTTCAGTATAGTCTTGTTTTCAGTATTTTTGCCTACTTTTCAATGAGCTGCTCATTTTGCACCATCAGCTCAGGGAAGTTTCTCTCATTATGTGTTTGATTAATGCGTCTTCACATTTAATGTTGTCTCTTTCTCAGGAAGAAATCCCCGAGTTTTAGATTTCTATTTCCGTACTCTCTGTCCATCATGTTTCTTTTATGTCATTGTTTTAATCTCGTTGTCTTTTGCTTCTACATTGTAAGAACATTCTTATAGCACCTTCCACATCACTGACTCAATTTTCTGCAGTGTCAATTCTGTTCTTTATAGTTTCCAATGTGGGTTTTAATTCTGCTATTGTGTTTTTGGATTCCTATATTCAGCCACTTCCCTTTTCATCTGATTAGTGTCCAAACATCTCAGCTATTTTTTATTTCATAAATTCCTCATTTTCTTAAATTTTATTATAATCAGAAAACAAATGCATCCTAAAATTTACTTCTATTTTTCTATATTTTAGATGTATTCTTGTCTTCTGCATCTTGAATGTCATGTCAATCTCTGGGTTCAGAATTCTCTTTTTATGCCTATTGCTGTCTCTTAACTCTCCTTTGAACAAAGAGCCATTGCTTGGTGTCTAAAGTTTACCAGCGAACACTGTGAATGGGCTCTTCTGTGGTTTTCTTCCCTGCCCAACTGCCTCCTACAGGAAACAGGTTTCATATCTTGATCTTTAACACTGGCTTATATGCGAGGCTTGGCCAACACTTGTGTCTAGGAATTGCTAATCGAGTGGGCCCTGCTGTCCTGGAAAGCCATTGCTACTCCAGCTACCTGGCAAGCTGACTCTGCAGAGAAGAATTAGTCTGAGATAATGTGAAGCCATCTGCAACGTTCTCTTACCAGAAACTGCATGAAGGAGTGGGACACCCAGAATGTATATTTCCAACTCGGATTAGGAATGCACAGAGGAAGTGTGTAAAAACCTTCAACAATCCTGCCCCCACAGCTCCTGAAAACATCTCTGATTCTCTAATCTCTTCCCCGCTTTTGGCCCACACAGCTCTTCATGGCCCTATGCCGATAGTGGGTATGACTTTCCATTCTCCCCATATGTAGTGGGAAGTGTCTGTGCCTTTGGTAAAGTGCTACAAGTCCGTGATTGTTTGCAGGCCTGTTTCAGATGCTTAGTGCACCGCTCCCCACCCCCCACATCCAATATCACATCATATGCTTGGCACTTAATACTCCCAAAGCCCAGGCTGGCACATCCAACCTATTTAGACAGGTAGTCAGGGCAATCCATTATTCAGGTAAGAGATAAATAAAAACTAAATACCAGGGATCTATTTTCTCCTGAACTCTGTTTTCCCCCATGCCCATTTGTGATACCAATCAAGATCATCTTGCCATCAGCCAATCCCAGATTTCTCTGGAGCTTCATGAACCTGTGTCTGACTTAACCTTCCCGATGTTCACCTAAATATCATTACTGAATAAGTGGCAGAGGAGAGGATTTGAATAGCAGCCTTCTTGTTCTGCAGAAATTATGCATTTGACATACAATAACGACCATGAGAGAAATTGTCAAGGCTGAGAACTGCAGAGCCCCCATAAGAGCTCCAGCCCCTCAACTCCCCTCTTTGTCTGCAAGAGCAAATCTCCAGGGGGTGGACACTAGACCATCAATGACTGTACAGATGACAGCAAGAAAGGGAAGGTGTAGGATATGACATGGACACCATGCTGAAGGCCCCATAGGCAAGGACCTACCACTGCTGATGTGTGTGACAGTCCTGTTCTAGCAAACGTCTTCTTAGTTTAAGTTCGCAAAGCTGCTCTTGTTTGGGTGACAGGTGGTTGGGATCATTATTTTTTTTTATTATTCATCAAACCCACAGGAAAGTCTGGAGGGGAGGGAAGAGGTGCAAGTCTGATGTCTGGACTTAATAGAGCCTCTTGAGCAGCCACAGATGGGTGTAATCTCTGTGAACTTGATTTTTATCAGCCACGAAATGGAGATAAGCATACTTAATTTGCAGACTAGTAAAGTTAAATGAAATAACACTGTTAAAGCCTCTGGCAGACTGTCATGAATGTAGCAGGTGCCCAAAAGATGTTAGTGATTAGCATGATGTGTTATTCTGTCCTATAAGACAGATATGCTTGTAAGTATCTTACTGTTCAGCATAGACTGTATTTTTCATCTTTGTACTTTCCTCTGTTTTCCTCTAGTGTCTCAGCTTTTATCGTAGGAACTTAGCAACTATTTATTGGTTGCCTGAATGTTTAAATGAACAAATAACTGAATGAGTAATTCCCTCATGAAATGGAAACAATATTAATTTAAGAAGGCTAGAATTAGAGGCTGATGGTTAAGTTTCTTTAGCAACCTGGGGGCCCAAGTGAAAGGGATCGGGCTCTCTAGCTGGTGCTAAGCAGTGTATTATAATCAGTTCACTCCAGATACATGTTCCACTATAATATATGTGCCTCAAGATTAGGGCTCGGGTCTTATTGAGCTCTGCATCCCATACCGTGGCTCACAGTACTTTCTCATAGCTGTTTTCGGAATAGAGGGAAGAATGGGTAGAGCAGCTGCCCAGCTGTACCTTAATTTTGATGATGTCCGGGTTGTACTGCACTGCGTCTCCCCACTCCTGCATCAGGTCTGCTGTCGGCAGGTCCTTGTACGCCAGGGCAGTGATATACTCACTTGCTCCTCCTCGCACAAGGACCACCAAGTCCTCTACCATGGTATTTCTCTTCTTTCTGTCTGATTTGGACAGAGAAGTGACATGTCAAGGAATCCACTTTTGCACCTTGGAATTTATGGAAACACAACCAACAATCATGATATTCACTGAGCTCACTTTGCAGATGTGGGTGGACAAGACACATCACTGTCAGCAAGGGAGTCACAGTGCAAGGGATAAAAGACAGCTCACCCAATCATATATGATGCAAGTTGGGGGCCAGACAAGGAAGGGACATTTATTTTGAGCATCTATAAATGCCAGTCACTAAGTGAGCCTATCTGATGATAGATAGATGATAGATGATGAATAAATAGATAGATAGATGTAGATAGATTGATAGATAAGTAAATAGGTAAATAGATCATTGATAAATACCTACATACACATATATATACATATACATACATATATATGTATCAATCCACCAGTGTGTACACACACACATACACACACACACACACATATGTATATATATAAATGGGTAGATTGGTAGATAGATAATTGATCACTTATGTGTCAGTTTCTAATCTAAGTGTTGTACAAGAATTAACTCAATCTTCACTATGAAATAGGAACTATATAATTTGCAGATAAGAAATCTTAGGCACTAGGTGTGAAGGAATTTAGCCAGCTAGACTTGCCCAAGCTCTAAGCTATATCACTTCTTTGAGTAGGATGACAAAAGTGGGGAAATTGGTAAAGGCTGGACTCTGCATGTGAGAGATACCCTCTAAGGAGTGTCTACGATAAAGTGGTTATTATTTCGACTTCTCATGGAGTTTCCCAGAAAGCCCTCAGTTATATCAGTGAGTCATTCCTACTCTAATTTGTCCATGTGCTCAGTGCCAAAAGAACTGGTGTAAAGTGACTACTCAGCTCCAAGCCTGCAATAAAAACCTGAGCATCATAAAAAGAAGGTCTTGTATACTGCTGGTAGGTGTGTAAATTAGTACAACTATTTTAGAAAACAGCTTGTTATTATCTAGTCTAGAAAAAGTACATACTCTACAACCCAATAATTCCACTCCTAAGTGTAGTCCCTGAAGACACACTTGCACATGCAACCAGATGACTGTGTAAGAATGTTCATAGTAGTATTGATTATAATTGCTTGAAATAGAAAACAACCCGAATTCAACAGTAGAATGGACAAAGTGTTGTATTCATATAATAAAATACTATACAGTAATGGAAATAAACTAACTATAGTTATACATTAAAATATGATGTTAAGTGAAAAAAAAGAAGAACAAAACTGAAAAGATTACATTCCATGCATATAAAGTTCAAAAACAAGCAAGACTAAGCCATCTTGGTTAGTGACACATATGGGTGGTAGAACAATAAAGAAAGGAAGAACATGTTTAATACAGAAGAGAGGAGTTGTGATTGACAAGGGCTTTTCGGGGTGCCGAGAATGTTTCTATCTAGTAACTTGGATGGGGGTGGTTACTTTACAAGTCATCTATAAAGAGAACCTATGTTGTATGCATGCCTCCCTATGTAGAATGCATCTTCCAACCCAGCCCCACAAAAATGAACAAATAAACAATAACAACTACACATCAGCCACAAATACAAGAGTTTGTTCTAGACCAGCAGTTAATTTTGGTTGTTGTTTTGTTTCACTGTGAAACTCTTTCTTTGCATAAACTTAGTGAGTAGAGCAGATGAAGGAGAGCTACTTGAGGTGCAGGAAGGATTGGGGATTGGAGGCCTGCTGATCAGCCCCTTTCCTATTCCATTTGCCGTATTGATTCCCGACTCCTTTGTATGGCCTTCAAGTTCCCTGCTCCTAAGACACTTGGCTCCACACCCTGGCTTCAATACGTACCTCTGATCTGGTCTCTCGGCCATGTGGGCTCTGCTACATAATCTGTGGCTTTGCCTGCTCTTCTAGTCTTTGTATCGCCTATTCTCTGAGGTAAGGATTAGCCTCCTCACCTGCCTCCTCCACCTCCTCCACCTGCTCTGGATCCTAGCAATCTACCTCTAGCCAGGCCAATTCCCAGCCCCCGGACTAAATTTCCACTGCTAGATTATTTTTCTTCTTGCCTGAAACACAGCTTTGATACTTTACTCCTCCAGTGGCAATTCAAATGACCACTCCCTCAGGAAGCCTGCCCTGGGCTGGGTGCTTATCACTGTCTTGTCATTGGTTCTTTGTTTGCCGACTTCATGAGGATAGAAACACACCTTGTATTCATTTTTTGTATGCCCAGCACATAGTAGGGGCTAGGTAAATTTTTAATGAATTAATTATTATTATTTCATTTAGAATGCCTTGGAATATCCAGTATTTAGCTTAAAGAAAGACAAGGTCCTAGGAGTGCTAAAGGGAAAGATGATAAGCATGGAAGTCACATGCCCTGCCACTCACCTTTTATTTCTTTCAGAATACCCTCGCATGTCTCCAGCGACACACCCAGCTTGACGTAGACCGCTTTCACGGCAGCACCAATTTTAAAACCATTTTGGGCACAGCTATGAATATCCTTAAGAGAATAATCTGAAAGAAGCAAGAAAACAGGCTCATGATCTAAAGGTAATTCATCCTGTTCCTTTCCTTGTGATGAATTCCAAAGGCCTAGCCCTTCCTGGATGTCATGGGGCCATACGGGGCCTCGGATTCAAATAAATGGATGGCCAGCCTGATGATAAGAATGAAGCAGCTACTGCACCAGGGAAGACACCTCATAAGAAGATCAGTAGCAGCTTCCCTTTCTAGCCTCCTCAAAGACTCTGAGGGCTTTTGCTGCCCACCAAAGAGGGGAAGTGCTCAGTCCCTTTCTAAAAATGTGGTTCCTTATCAAGTGTCTAGGGACTGATCCAGCGAGTAGAGGCTGCTGCAGTCTGTCTGCCTTCCCCTGACACACCTTTTCTAATCTTTGATGTAGCAGAAAGAGCTTGTTAGTTGATTAATGGAGGTAATGCAATAAAGTGTCTGGTACCGTACCTGGCAAAGAGAAGGGGCCCATCCCCTTTATTTCTTCTTTATTTTTGGATCATTTCTCACTTGTCCCTCCCTAATTCTCCCAAAGGCATCCTCCTCCTCTGGGCTTGCTGAAATCTCAGGTGTGGCTTCCAAGTACCTTTCTGTAGCACTTTGAAGCCAGTGTGAGGACAGGAGCGTGATTTTGACTACTGTGGCTGTTGAGTTAGTAACGTTAGTGTAGAACAGTTTTCTCCAAGGCACATTCCTTGAAACGTAAATCCTATGATAAAATCTCTTCTAATTCCTGTGCTAACAAGTTTTATAAGAAAAAAGCGCTTCTATGGTAAATATGATCCAAGTTGTATCAGAAGAGGTGGAGAGGTCATTTTATGGCACTATGCTTGTGAAACTCTAAAAAATGGGGTCTCTTATGTTTCCCCAACTTATCACAGAGCCCATTTGAGGGAGTATGAAGAGCACTTCTGAAACCACTGGTCTGGGGAAAAGTATCCTCTTCGATCTTGGCAAGACTGAGGCCACCATAACATAAATTTACATTATGTACCATGTGTCTTCCAGCAAGAACACTGGACTTATAGTCAAGCCCTTGCTCTGCGTGACCTAGGGCAGCTCACTTAACCTGACAAGTGCCATGTTGTTTGAAAGAATACTGGACTGGGAAGGGGGAAGTACACCTTAGACTTATAGTTGGCTATAACTGGAAAGATCTGTAATATCTGCATAAGGAACAAATTGTAGAGGAGGAATGAGAATTTAATGTAAGTTTGGAGGCTATGGAAATAATCTACAGCCTTGATACTTAAAGTATGGTCTATAAATCAGCAGCATCAAAGCTTGCTAGAGCTGCAGAAACGGGTCTCACCTGGAACTTATTGAATCAGAATCCATCTCTTATAAGATTCTCAGATAATTCACATTCACATTTTAAGAAGTATTGGTCTCGGGGCAAGGGTAAGATGGTAATAGTAAAGACAGAGAGAAAATATAATTTCGGGGTAGAGATGATGAGACTTGTTAACAGGTTGAAAGGAAAGTAAAATAATCAAGGTTGACTCCTAGGTTTTTAGCTTGAGCCACTGGTCAGATGATGGAACCACTCTGAGATGTGGATGACTATGAAAGAAACTCATTAGAGAAAGAAAAGCAAAAGTTCTCTTGGTGGGCATGTTAGGGTTGCATGGTCATTAGACATTCAAATGGAGACATCAAGGAGGCATTTTGACATAAGCTCTTGGCTGCAGAGAAAAGATCTGGGATGGATTTATAAATAGGGAGTTATCCGAATATTGAAGGCATTTAAAGCAGTGGTCCCCAACCTTTTTGGAACCAGGGATTGGTGCTCCTATGAAAATCTAATGCCTGATGATCAGAGGTGGAGTTGAGGTGGTGATGCTAGTGCTGGGGAGTGCTGCAAATACAGATGACGTTTCACTTGCTTGCCCACTGTTCACCTCCTGCTGTGCAGCCCGGTTCCTAACAGGCCACAGACCAGTACAGGTCCACGGCCCAGGGGTTGGGGACCCCTTATTTAAAGCCATGAGATTAGATGCTTTTGTCTAGAGAGAGTAGTTGTAGAAAAGAGGACTGAGCAGACAGAGGGCTGGGTGAAGGACCAACATTAACAAGTTTAAAAAAAATAAAAAGGAGGAGGAATCTGCAAATGAAACTGTGAGAGTACAGTCAGGGAGGGAAAAGGAAAACTAGGAGCACATCTTATAACTCTTCTCCCAGCAACTAATGGAAGCCTCTTCCCATCAACACACATAGCTCAAGCTGTGCCCAGTCAGGAAAGCCATGGTCCCTTGGGCCGTGTACCTCCTTTCTCCATGGCCTCTTGGTTTATAATGAGTGTGTATTCATAAATGCCCCCAAGCACGGCCTCTGTGATGTAGTGGGTCCCGAAATCACGGAAGAGATCTCTGTACTCCCCGTAGCCGTACTCCAGGGGCAGTTGCTTGACTCGTTGCAGGAATTCGTAATGGAGCATGAGGCTTCGCGGTTTCAGCTTGTAATGTGCTACTTCAAGGTCAGAGCGCGCGTGCAGAAATTTGCTTCTCTAAATGAAATACCAACATGGGAAAACCAGACCTTTAAAGTTAGGAATCTGGAACGGGAAGATGAACTTTACAAATACCATCCTATATTCTTGGCCTGGGGTCATCACTCTTAGGATTCCTTTAGGATACTTGAGGGAAGAGGGCCTCTCTGACAAGCTCTCAATTCTCATAAATATTCTGATGTCCTTTTCAGTTTGGAAGAACTAGTTCTTTGCTCACTTCCTTACCATAGCAAATAAGGAGTAAGAAGCGGAAGTAACCAGAAAATAGACATGGCAGGGAGCAGCATGGGCACATGAGGCCACTCTGATGGGAATCGGGGTTCGATGACCTGCAAAGGCAATTTTGTGTTTTTTGAAGAAAAGCCACTCAAGAAAGAGTAAAAGCAGAGCTTTAGGAAGGCTAGACATTGTAGTATATGGTGAGAGACTATACACTACAGCCTGCGCACCAAATCGGGGCCTGGTTTTATAATGTTTTATTGGAACACAGGCCCATTTGTTTATGTCCACAACAGCTGTCACACTACAATGGCAGAGTTGAGTAGTAGCAACAGGGCCCATTTGGCTCCACAAAGTCTAAAATATTTACTCTTATTACAGAAAAAGTTTGACTCCTGATGTATGGGATCGACTGAAAGATGATGGCAGATGATGTATAAACATCCAGGAAGTATTAATGTAAGGTGAGGTGAGAGGTTCCTATACTGCTGTGGAGGCAGAAGAAAAGGTGAAAAGGTTGAAAATATCCATGAGATATAGTCTGTCCCAATCCTAAAACTTTCAGCCAGTTTGACCTATGAGCTCATCAGTCATGCCGCCTCCGGTAGCGCCAACCACCCAGACTCCCTTGCTGGTCCCTGCCTTTGTCTCACCCCATCTTAGTCTTGCCGCAGTGACTCATGACTCTCTTCCTTCTTTCTGACCCTTACAACCTAAGCAGTCACTAGGTGCTCTGTTCATGATTTTTCTAAATATTTTAGGCTTCATCTCTTGCTTGGGTTATTATATTCCCCACTGATTTCTCTTGTTCTAGCCTGTCTTCAATGCTCCAATCAAAACTGACATCCTTAAATTCTGATAGTATTAGTATAATGCCCCTCTGGACTTAAAACAAAACCCTATATTGGCTCTTTATTGCCTCCCGAATAAAATCAATTCCCTTGCTTTGAGTATAAGAGCTTCACAATCTGTCCCCCAATAGCCTGTCTGGCTTCAACTTATACAACCTGCAAGTGTTTCTCCCCATACCTTACTATTTTCCACCACCTACACCATACATCAGGCATCATCCAACTTCTCACTGTTCTCCAAATCCTCCATTCTCTTTCATAGTACAATTTTTACATGTTCCTTCTGCCTGAAATGCCCTTCCCTCCCTTTTTGCCAGACACACACCTACTTATATTTAAGTCCTATTTAGCTGTTGTCACCTATTTGATACCACCTCTGAATTTCCTAGACACATACTCTATCTTCCAGGATTGCATTGCATATTACTTATGTTTCCTTTATAGCATATATCATGCCATATCATAACTGATATTAAAAAATTAATAATAAGTTATCTGCATCCATGTTTACCTCTCCTGCTAAGAATTAAAGGCAAGAATTATGTTATATTTGTCTTTAGGTCCCAAGTCTCTAGTGCCTAGCACAAAATAAGCACTCGACAAGTGGCTATTTGAATCAGAGAAGTGGGAAGGGAGGGAGGAAGGGAGAGAAAGAGAGAAGGAGAGAAATAGAAGAAGAAAGGGAGGGAGTAAATGGATGGTATCTTCGTTTTCTCTCCTAACAAGGTAAGTTCCTGTTAATCAGTCCTAACCATTCATCATGGTATTTTGGTCTTGAGTGCATACAAAATGCCATTCTAAACCTAAAAAATCAAAAACAAAAACAAAAACAAAGTTTCTACCACTGAAGATCTCACAGCCTAGAAGAAGAAAAATAAGCAAAGGCTATTACAGCCTAATTAATGTTTACTACTCATTTTCCGCTGGTTGGTATTTTAGCGGCACAGACCTTTCTGAGCTGCTTACCATTTCTTTTTTTCTCATATAAACCTCTGTCAACTTTTAGTCTTGGACTCCTCCATGTACTTCTCAGATTAATTTTCTATCATGTCACGCTCATGTAGAAAACTCTCAGAGAAGAAAAGGCACCTTCCTCACTCTGGAATTCAAGGTTCCTCAAATGTGCCTGTTACTTGTTCTCCAACATCACATCCCGTTACTCCCACTCTAACTACTCCACTTCCAATAAGTTACAGGTTGGACCTTCACCTTGTGGGCAATAGGGAGCAGATGATATAATTAGATTAGCATCAGAGAAACAGTTTCCTGGCAGTATATCAATTTGAAGGGACACATTGGAAGACAAGAGACTCCTTAGGAGGGCAGAGTAAGAGATGAAAGGGCCTGGGCTAGTTAGGGTATAATCAAAGTTAGATTTAAAAATACTGAAGAGGACTTGGTGGCCAACAAATGTGGAAGTGAAAAGAGCCAAATGTGATTCTGAAATTCTTAGCCTGAAAAAAGTAGAAGAAAAAGAATGCTATTTCACACAGAAAATTTAGGAGGAAGAACTTGCTTTGGAATGACAGCAAGGCAACCAGGTCATGATGCCCAGAAGACTGGGTGGTGTGGGTCAGAGCTTGACAGGAAAGTTAGAAGCAGTGATGAAGGCTCATGGCTTGTTCTCTTAGAGGAGAGAAGGAAGTGGAAGAGGTCACCCAGGCTGCCTGTAGAGTAAGAAGGGAAGATGCCATGAACAAATAAAGAACAGGTCTAGATATCAGAACCCAAGAAGTGGAACTAACTGTAAGAAGCAGGAAGAAAGCAGGAAAAAGTGTGTGATGGTGAGGTCCATTCCACCAAATGCCCTCAAGAAGTCAGAGACGGGGTCTTGGATGACATTCCAGAGGAGAATGTCAGCTGAATGTTTAAGATGGTAGTCAACTTGCTAGGTTTACTAAATCTCCAGGGATGATTTGGTTTAGCAAAGATACAGTCTTAAATTAATGAAAACTAAGGGAAAAAGCTAATTAGAAAATGAGAGTAAATAATTAGAGAAGGCCACCACCGCTTGGCCTTTCTTAAAAGTAAGACCATGCTATTTTGTATGAGTGTGAAAAGATTTTCAAGATAATAGAAATATAATTGGTTTCTAGGGCTAGTAGTTATGTGAAATACAGACACATCGGTGAACATAAAGATTCAAATAAATACATAGAAATTGAAGAGAACCAAAAGGGTACTTACAGTATGAGAGAATCGTTTGGTTCTGCTAACAAAACGTTTGCCATTATCACTTGCCGTGTTAATGCCAACTTCAAATATTCCAGGTATTTTAAAACCAAAGCTGAAACTAAACTTGCTCCTTTCTGCCTTTGTGACATTATATTCAAAATCTGAGTATGATTCATATTCTGTCAGTGCAAATTCATATTTGCTTTGGGTCTAAAGGAAGAAAAAAGAAAATGTTTCTTAGTTCAGTAGAGTTCAATACAAATATCAACAAATATCCATAGTACTCTTACTATGTGTCAGGCACTGGACTAGTTGCTCTGGATACAGAAAACTCGCAGCCAACTGTGTCCCCATTCCCAGAACTCTTGATCTAGTAGGAAAGACAGATGTGTTCAGTTCTGTGGGGTGATATTCAGAAGTGAGTGCTTGATTTGGATTTCAACTGGCAGAAAGGAAGGAGAACATTTTGGGCTGTGGGCTTGGCTTAGGCAAAGACATGGAGGTGGGAAAGCACAGGATAGAGTCAGAAACTGCAAGAGGTTCTAGTGTGGTTGTATCAGAAGATGCAAGAGTGAGGGGAAGAGAGAGGTGTTGTGAGAGAAAATGTGCAGGAATCAACTACTTGTTCTGAAATTGGACTTAATCCAAAGATGAGTCAACAGAAAAAATAGCTGAACCTCAGGAAGCTCATTACAGGGCAACATAGTAGTTGGATTGGTGGAGACGAATTTGGGGTCAGAGAGACAGGCCAATGAAAAGGCTGTAAGAGAAGTGCAGGTGACAGGTGATGAGGATCTGGTCCAAAGGCAGTATGGCGGGGATGAAGTGACAGCGGCAGGAAAGTGTCTTTGTGAAGACTCAGAAGAGCTATTTACTTGAAAATCAGTGTTTATCGTCCTGTGCACAGTGGAACTGTCAAGGGTCCTGCCTTGGCGGCCCTGGAGTGACCAGTCTCAAACTGTCTCCACCCCCATCCCATCAGCTTCTGGAGGCTTATAGTTCCCATAACACCTTAGCTGCCAGGAAAGGAAAGCAGATGTGCCCCGAGTATGGCCTGGAGGAAGGCCGCCTGACGGGGATGCATCACTGCCATTTTCTAGTTGGGTAACCTTGGACGTTTTACTTAACCTCTCTATGCCTCAGTTTCTTCATGTGTAAAATGGAGATGATAATTGTTACTTCCATTGGGCTTGTTCCGAGGGTTGAGTTTATACAGGTAAAACGCTGTACAGTGCCTGGTCCAGCACACAATAAAATGTGCTGGCTATGAAGAGAAGACCCATTAAGAGCTATATCCTGCCTGGGTTAGGAGCTATTTTTAACCTTGATGATAAATGGCTGTTCTAAGATCCTCCTTTGTAAGTAGAGGCTGTGGGGACGGCACTGACACCATGGGGGAGGGTATGTTTTTCCTTAGGCTCATTTTCTTTTTTCTTTTCTTTCTTTTTTTGGGGGGGAGGGGAGAGGGGGGCAGGGATGCAATGAGTACGTGTGGGAAGAGGGAAGTAGGAAGGAAGGAGGAGGGGGTAGTAGCCTAACCTCTCAGATTGCACAATTTTAGAAGTGGAAACTATCATCAAGGTTATCTAGTCTGGCCCCTTCATTTTATAGACAAGGAAACCAAGGCCCAGCATGGAAAAGGAACTTAGCCTAAAGTAAAACTGGGACCTGTGGTAGAGCCAGGCCACGAATCTCCAGCGTCTTCCCTCAGATCTTAAATGTGTGTGTCCTGCAGTAACATGATTTATTCTGAATCCTGCTCTCTGTGAGATCTCTTTTAAGGTTGTACATTAACCATAACGGGCTTACATTGGTAGACCATTTTAGAACTTCAAATGCTTAGAACAATGCCCAGTTCTTATAGGCAAGGACTTGTTAACAACGAGGGGTAACCCTTCCCCAGGACACACCATTCAACCAGGTACTGGGTGTAGTAAACATTTATACACATTATCTCACTAGTTCTCTCCCTGAAGGCTAGAACCTTTATAACTCCCAATTTAATGACAGGAAAATGGATGCTCAGAGCAGTTAGGATTACACAGATGGTAAGTTACAAGAGCCACCATGTCTGTGAGCCTCCAAATTCTAAGCTACACTTCTGTCTTCATGGTAGCTTTTGATATTATTGTTAGTATAATTTCTGCTACTACAACTACTGCTGTTGCTACATATACCATGTCAGCCTCATCACTATGTCTTGAGGAAGGAATCACCCATTTTACACATGAAAATTTGAAGCTCAAAGAGAAAAGTGATGCCCCCAAGCTCACCCAGCTAAAAGGCTGCAGGCCAGGCCTCAAATCCCTGCCAACTGGCTCCTCAGTGAGTACTTCTTCCATTGCCCTGAAGCGGCTCCCTGGCTGTCACCTACCTGTGGGGTGTAGCTCTCCACGTTGTATGGCTTCCTAAACTTCGTGTTCAGTATGTAATGGGGAGAGCATCCACCGCCGTAATACCTGTGATCGAGAACCGGGCCTTCCAAACTGTTTGTGAATAAATTAATCCTACAGAGAAGGCATGGGGAGGAAGCAGAGGTATGGGTAAGCAGCGGGTTGTGTAATTTCAACTAGTAGACCTAACTGAATGGTAGTGGGGCCTACAGAATTCCTTGGCATAACACTCAAGGCCCTTGGTATCTGGTTGAAACCAGCTTTCCAGCTTCATCTCTGGCTACTCCCAACCATTACCATATACCCTAGTCCCCAGCCATTTGGATAGGCCTGCTCTTCCTCCAATCTGCTTTGCTCCTTCTCTTATGTGTAAAGGCTGTTCCCTATGCTTAGAATGCCCTACCAGCCATTCAATGTTTTCTCTCTTACTTGTTTTTCAAGATTGAACTCTGCCATTGTCTGTTGTGGGAAGCCTTCACTGACACTTGCTGTACGAAGCTGGGTAAGAGACCCTCGTAAGACCCTGTGCTTGCCCCATTCATGCATTTATTGTTCTGTGCTATTATGGTTGCCTTAAAGGATGGTCTAGCATAATAGGTAAGACATGGACTCTGGAGCCAGCTGTCTGGGTTTCAAATCCCTGTTCTGCCATTTATGAGTTACCTGACCTTGGGCACATCAGTTAACCTCTCTGTGTGTCAGTCTCTTTACCTGTAAAATGGGAACAAGAATACCTACCTCGTGGGGTCATGAGGAGTACATGTGTCATACTTGTTAGTTGCTTAGAACACTGCTTGTTATTATTTATGTATCTGTTGCCTGTACTAGATTGCGTGCTCCTTGAAGATGGCGGTTTTCTTCTGAATTTCTGTATAACCCATAGCACAAGGCACAAAAATAATTACCATTTACCGAGGGCCTAACTGGAAACAGACATAGTAGGGGGGGACTCAATGTAACACCTTATTTAGTGTCCCTGAAGCTCTGGCAAGAAAGAATGAAAATCCTATCTCTAATCAGACATTATTGCTCACTGTCTCCTAAGGCAGGCCTCCATGTGAACCAGTTCTGACTAGTACCAAAAGTTCTTTTTTGTTGTTGTTGAAAGGAATTCTGTCTTTTCTCAGCTTCTGCCCATTGGCCTCTGTTCTGTTCCTAACAGAATTACTTAGGCTATCTTTCCCATGACAGAGTTCATATACCATAGTATGTATATTTATTGCTTTTATTTAACAAATATAATGCTGGTGCTTCCTTTGTGGAGGCACTGTAATAATCGATTTACACATATTGACCCATTTAATCCTTACGAGGCTATATCCTTATGAGATAGCTATTATTGTTATACCCATTTTACAGATGAGGAAGGGAGGCACAGAGAGGGAAACTGATCTGCCCAAGGTCTCACTGCCAGCAGCCACTGGGGGGAGGGGCCGGAGGGCAGGGCAGGATTCGGAATCTGAGGGTCTAGTTCAAGAACAGATTCCACACTCTTCCCACCACACAAACGGCCTCTCAGCTTATTCCAATCACATTAGCTTATTCAATCCTCACAGAACTTGAGAGAAGGGTATTATTCACTTTTCTCTATAGATAACAAAACTAGAGCCCCACACAGTAAGGGCCTCATCTGAGGTCCTGTGGTCGGTGAGCTGACCCACTACCACCTCCTACAGCTCTGAATGTCCACTCTGTCTCCTGGGGCAGCCATATGACCCCTGTGAGCTGTCTAAACTTTTCCAGGCCTTGGTTTCCTTACTGAGGAAGTGGGAATTAATTATAATAACTATCTTATAAGGGGGTCCCGAGAGGAGCTCTCTCCATGTGAGGAGTCTCTCTCTCTGAAGACAAACTTTGAGGATCGAGATTTGTTTTTTGTTTAGGAAGATGGTGAATTCCATTCAGGGTCAATGTTGTCCTCCCTACATTGCATCTCATACAGTGGTTTTTAATTCGTGTGAGGAGAGGGTCTTAGTCTTCCTCTTGGAGGCTGAGAAGCTGTAGAATATGGCAGGCAAGTAGGGCAAACACCAGGCTGGTTTGATCCCTTCTGACCTTGCTCCTCTGACCTTGCCAGAGGATTGGATTAACTCAGAGATCCCCAGAAGCTTGAAACACAGATTGATTGCAGAGCCATCCTGGAAATCCATTTCTTCACTGACTACTTAGAAGACTCTCTTGGGTTACAGAAACAGATAAAACCTTTTCCACAACTTGTCAATAGGATTCAAAGGGAAGGCTTACAAAGCGCCTAACACAGTCACATAGCAGGAGTTAAACATTTATCCCCAGCTCTCACATGATGCCTTTGAGGTTTCCAATCACAGCTCTGTCCCTAACTCAGCCTACCTTGTGGCCCGTGTCTGTCCATGAGACATGCTCCTGGAGTTCCCCAGAACTGTCCTCAGAGAAGAGCCATGAGCATCCACTTACACTACAGTCTTTTGTCAGAAAGGAAAAAAGGAGCAACTCTGTTCACATCAGCTCCCTTCCTTTCTCTTCTCTGGAATTACATTTAATCGTGTGCTTTCTCATCCACACAATAGAAACACAGTAACTTACCCACTGGCTAGTCTGTCAATTGCCCAGTATCGGTCCATTTCTTGCTGACACTTTTTATAAATCTTTTTACAGTTTCCCTCATCTGACTGGTCTCCACAGTCGTTGTCCCCATTGCAAAGGAGTCTGCGGTTTACACACCTCCCTGAGATGGAAAAAGGATGTTATGCATGGCCACGTGGCTATCAAGAGGGGAACTACATGGTATGAGCAACAGGCGATACATCAGACACTTTCTGGGCCTTTTATGCTCGGTTTTGACTAGTCCTTATGTATCAGAGTGGGTTGGAAATGGCATTTACAGTTTACTTCCCCAAAGAGGCCAGTGCTATATTTCTGAAAGCACTTTGAGGGGAGATTATTAAAGGTGGGGAATTAAATAATTAAAAGGAAAGCGCCTGATAGGCAGGGGTTGAGTGGCCAGATAGGAAGGAAGTCTGGGGTTCTCTCTCTCAGGCTCGAGAGAGAGGCGGGTTTGGTGGGTCCTGCAGGTAATATTAGCTGTGTGACCTTCTATATATTACCTAACTCCCTGCCTCAATTTACCTATCTGTAAAATAGGAAAGTCATAATACCTACCCCCTAGGGTTGAGGGGAATTTAAATGAGTAAATAGAACACTACTGACTCATAATACATGCCCGATAAATGTTATTACTATAATTAGTGTTTTTTGTGGGCCAAGTGCGCATTGCCAGTAAATATCTACAGCAGAATTGGAACCCATAACTGTCTAATCACATTTTTTCCCCACAAAACCACACTGCCTTCAACACCATACCCATTTGGACTATAAAAATTATTGGACTAACAGTTTTAAATCATTTGCAACACTTTTGCTTCCTCTAAACTTTTCTCCCCACTTTTTCCCTTCTTATTTGTATATTCTTCAGGGATAAAGCCCATAGTACAGGTGGCCCTATTTCCTTAGATGTGTCTGGTCACATTTAACTAATGTTCTTGGGGTGTTAAAGGCAGAAGAATAACAGTCTGGTCTTCGAACGTTCTTACAAGGCACTTAAATTAAAGCCTGCCTGAATAACCATTCTGACTTTGGTCAGAATCATGGAACACTGGCCATAATGAGTCCATGGACACACTGTAAAAAAGCCCTTCAGATTTATTGAGTGAATTTTGCATTTACAATAAGCCCTAGAAATTGTTCTAAGAATCTTTTCTTGAAAGATTCCAAAACACAGTCCACATGGATATGGTAAATGTAGAGCGTTACAACTCCCACCTGCATAATTTAGGTCAAAATACTCTTATTTTTGCCAGACACTTGGGGAAATAGAGAGGCATGTGTTTGCCTGAGTTAGCCAGATGAATGAGTAGAAAAGGCAACTGTTTACTTAATTCTGCAGCTGATAGTTATCCATTTGTGTGCCCCTTCCTTCCTCTGTCCATCCATCCATATGTTCTTTTTTACTTTCTTTCCTTTAGTCAAAAATTTTCTGACTATCTCATGCTGGACTTGGTGATGCAGAAATGCAAAAGATAGGGACTACCTCTCCAAAGATTTTTCAGAGATAAATGACACTAACCACCCTTATTTAACTATTTCAGCCTTTGCCACATTTTCTTTAGCCCCGAGCTTCTGAGCGAGCCAGCAGAGCTCACAGTCTGCAAAGAGTTTTCACATCCGTTGTGTCACCTGATGCTTATAACAAATTTGCAAGGCATTTTGATTTTATATCGAGAGAACAAACACGCAGAAATGTTAAGTGAATTCTCCTATGTTTTTAATGTCAGCGAATGTGATTTGAATTCTTAAATTTCTAATTGCAGCTCTTTCACTTACCTGCTATATGACCTCGGGCAAGTAACTTCTACAAGTCTCAATTTCTTAATTTATAAAATGGAGATAAGAATAACACCAATTTTCAAGGATTGTTTTTATGAAGTAATACGTGTAAAAGGAGGTCAGAGATTTGAAAACAAGGAAGTTTCCTGACCTGACACATGAGCCCTATCCTGAGCACTAGGCAACGGCTGGAGCCACCACCATCACATGCCATCACCTAATTCGCTAGCTTTTCAGTCCCACTTCTGTGCCCCTTTATACCTGTCTGCGCACACACAAAGCCTTCACATCGCACTTGACTTCTGCATGGTGCTTTGGTCTCACAGTCTTCGACTTCCTTATCAGAGAAGATGCATGGGTCCCCACGGAACTGAGAGGGCTGGAGCAAGGTGGCGTGTCTGTACTGGAGAAGAGAGGAACGAGGTGAGCCAAGGGCAGAGCCTCAGGACCCTTGGGAGCTGAGGGATATACTTCATGATCTATGTTGCGATTGGCCGTTTGCCTGACTATTTCAACTAGACCTTAAGCTTTCCGAGGGCAGGGGTCTTGTCTGATCCCTGCATCCACGGTGATCAGTAAAGATTTCCTGAATGTGAGAAAAGCATGAGCCTTGGAGTCAAACAGTAGTAAGTAGATTGATGTGGCCAGTTCAATAACACAAAACCACAATCTCTCAGCTTGATTACTCCAATGGGCTGACTCAAGTATTCTAATTTACTCAGTATCTTATAAATGCAAAAGCATGCACTTGGGAGCCACAACTGACTCTGATAATTTCTAGTTATGTGATGCTGGGCAAGTTACTTAACCTCTATGATCTCAATTCATTGATCTTTAAAATGGAGATAATATTACCTAAATGTATAATTATGAAGTTTCAGTTATATATATATATGAAATCTCATCTTGTCTGGTACATAGTAGACAATTTCTTGTACTTATTTTTCTTTTTCATTATTAATAAATTTTAGCAGTCAATCTTTCTGTACCTCTACCTTCTAATTTGTTTATTCCAGGAACATTGATTGAATTTCCCAAGTATTAATTGAGCCACCTAGTGGTAAAAAATAAAAGGTAGATGTTATTTATGCATTATTTTGTTGGTTTTTAATCATAATCATGTTCTCTGGCCTGCTCTCAGGTATGCCACAGATGGTGGCGGTGCCGATGGTGGCGGTGCCGATGGTGGCGGTGCCGATGGTGGCGGTGCCGATGGTAGGCACCACACAATGACAACACAGTGCAATGGTTGCCACAGCAGAGGAAGCACAGAGTGCTCTGTAAACTCATAGGGAGTCCCCAGTGCAAACTTGGGAGATGGGGAAGTGACATCTAAGCCCAAAGGATGAGTAGAAAAGTCATGCAAACATGGAGAGCTGGCACGAGTTGGGGAGAGAAGAGCAATCCAGGCGGAGAAAATTGCTGCGCCAAAGCCGAGAGACTAGGGAGAATGTGCCTTATTCCTGGAAACAAAAAGAAATTCATCACGGCTGGACTGAAGAGCTCAAGAGCAAGAGTGTCAAGAGATGAAGGAAGACATAGGCAGGAGCAGGTAATGCAAAGCCTTCCAGGCCTAGTAAGGTTGGATTTAATATTTTACTATGGAGCAATGGGAAAACACTACAAGGGAAGGGAGTGGTCAGATTTGGGTGACTTCCAAATGCTAGTTGTAGTCAAGATTTTGGTGCAACAAAAGGGGGCAAAGCAGGACAGCAGCCACTTTGAAGAATGCTATATTAACCAGTTATAGTTATTATGCACATGGTATCTGGATATCCAAAAAAGAAATGTAGACAACTGTTCCCTCCTGCTGCTTTGCATTCCCGGAGGGTCTTTCTTCCTGGAAAGCAGTGGCTGGCAGGACAGGGATAAGGTCTGCAAAGATTAGTAGAAGACTAGCCCTAGGCACCAAAGAGAAAATGGACTCGAGGAGTGTGGAAATGATGGAGGAAAGACATCTCCTAATTTCAGTTGAAATGTTTTGATGAACCCCGAGCCCATGACCCTGCAGACAGCAGTGATGCCCGGCTAAGGGAACTGTGTAGCAAACTCTGAGTGAAGAGCTCTGGATGGCTGGGTGAATGGGTGACTCATGCTGAGTCTTTGTGGTTTATGGTGCAGATGAAGCAGTTATCCAGATAATTGGATCGATGTTGATAACTTCAGCAATAAAGCCTACTTTGGGAACTGAATGATACTGCTTGGCTCTCCACATTGATCCAATTAAGTGTGTAATTGTCCTGGGCCTACTTCCACAGCCTCTTTAAGGTCCTAGCCCATGGCTGGTTTGGTTTTCCAAGGAGCTGAGGAAACAATGACCATTCTCTGACACATTTGCTATTACCAGAGCTGGAATCCTGGGTCAGCCCTCCTATGACAAAGGAACCTGAGGGACAAGTACTGCAGAGACTACGTGTTTTGACTGGTAGAACACAAGACAAGAAGTGAATGGCCTGAGTTCAAGGCCTATATTTGCTGTTAGGTGAACCCAAGAACTCACTTACCTGCTCTGAGTCTCTGTTTACCTATCTGCCTGAGAGAAAATGTAATAACTATTCTTCATTCCTTACAGAAATATCAGAAAATATAATAAGATCAAAAAACACATATTTATGAAGCACCTATTATATGCCAGAAATTGACTTATACACTGAAGATATAGAATTGAATAAGCCTTTAAGAGCTCACAGTTTAATGGAAAGTTAAATAATAAATGAAAAGTAAATGATAAATGATAGAATACAGGAGGAATAGGGAGCTATTATAACTCATAAAAGGATGTCCATCTAACTGTAAGTGGGACTGAGTAATCAGGGAAGCCTTCTCAAAAGAGGTGGCCTTTGAGAAGAGTTTCAACTTCTGAGTAGGTGTTAGCCAAGGAAGAAATGGGAAAGGTCACTCCTGCCTGAGAAAGCAGCATGAATAAAGGCATGGAGGAAGTGTGAACTGGTCAGATAAATACAAATGGTCAGTGTGCGGGAGTGAGGGACATTTTAAGGAGATGTAGGCCAGGTCTGGGTTATGGGGAGCCTTGAATATCATGAATTTGGACTTAATCCTAAAGGCCATGGTAGACTTTGAAGCTGGGGAAAGACACGCCAGGCTTGCATTTTGATTCATCCCTCAGGTTGCACCAGGAAAGACAGATTAAAAGGGCAACTTTGCAGGCAGGAAGCCTAATTAGAAAGTTGTGAATATGAGTAAGGACAGATGTGTTTTGGGGGGTGGAGGCGGGGAAACAACTGAAGAATCAAAGAAAGAATCTAATTGCTATTTGGAAGAACAGAGAAATAGAATTCATTAATTTAATCGGCCAACATTCACCGAGGTCCTACTATGTGCCAGGCACTGTCAGTAGTGCTTGGCCAGACTTGCTGAGAATTAGGGTTCCCGGAAGCCTAGAGCTCTCCCAAGGCCTGTGTACTTACCCTTTTCTTCTGACAGGGATCACACATAGTCCAGGAGGACCAGCTGGACAGTTCACAATCAATAGGCATCAACGTGACAGCCACACTCCGTGTCTGCCTACTCTTGGCAAGGCTCTCGTTGATTGCATTTGACTCAAGAGAGGGTGGCCTTTCACCTCTAAAAGGTTATCATGAAAGAAGAGAGTCAGACATCAGAAGAGAATTAAGTATACATACAATCACCTATCCATGTATTCCATGAATACATATTCGCAAAGCTATTAGTTTATCATTCAAATATAGGTTAATTCATCCAACAAATATTATTGAACAGTCAGTTAAATGGCTGACATTATGACTAGCTATGGTCAAAGAGTATTGAACTCGGATCAGAAGACAGTCCATCAGCAGCTGGTCATCTTGGTCTGGTTTTGCAACCTGCGTGAGCTTCACCTCACAAAGCTACTTCTGGGATTAAATAAAAAAATGTATGTGAGAACACTTATAAACTCTGAAGTACTATAGGTATGCAAGGAATATCACTACAGCTGGATGTATGATCTTAAATGATTCTCCCCATCTCTAAGCCTCTGTTTTATCCCCTGGACAACGAGTGGTTTGGACTAGATGGTCTTGAAGGTGCCTCTCACATTAAGAGCCTATGAAACATTTGCTGAGAAAAAAACATTTTCAGGGTACTGTGCTTTCGGAGATACAGAGAAATATAACACACAGGTTCTGCCCTCTGGAACTCAGAGTTTTTCTTAGAATAGGAAAAGAGAAACATGTCTCAGGTCTTAGCTCCTCTGGAATTTATCCAATAGGCAAGGTCTTTAAGCATACAGGCTCTATGGCCTAAGCTGTGCTTTAGGACATCACTGTGACTGCAGTGTGGAGGCCGCACAGGGGTGGGGAGAACCTGGAGGCAGGAAAAGCAGGTACACGGCTTGTGTAGTTGTCCCAGTGAGTGATGTGAGCCTGAACTATGGTAGTGTCAGGGGAGAGAGAATGGGGAGGACAGACGAATGAGACATTTCTCAGGTGGAATGGATACACGGTGATGGGTAATTGGATGGACTGTGGGTTAGAAGTAGGTTGATGCTGGTTTCTAGTCTGAGTGTGTGGGTGGGTGGGGAACACAGAAGCAAAGGAGTTTATTGGGGGAGATGTGGTTGGGGCATGCTGAGTCCAGGTGCCCATGGAACACCTATCTAGAGTCATATAATAAATGGTTCCTACACAGTTTTGGAACTCAGAAGAGAGATTTGTGCTAGAGACACAGATCTGATCATGAAAAGCTATGGGAGATGATACAACTGTTCTTGAAGCAGGTCAAGTATAAGCCCTTGGGGAGCATCAGCACCACCGGCAGATCAGGAGAGACTGTGCCCTGCCAGCCCAGGGATGGGGTGAGGCCAGTGAGGGCCGGGGGAGAGGCAGATGACGTCACATCTACAGAGCAGTCAAGCAACATGAGGCCTGCAATATGTCTAGAAGATAAGGCCACACTTTTGATGAGTTTCTGACATTCAGTGAGATATTCAGTAAAAGAGTGAATGAATGAGCATGGAATTTAATCTGTCTAGGCCTTCGATTTCCCCATGTGATATGATTTGTATATTATGATTTTTATTTTTCTTCCATCTGAAAGAGTATATAACACTGTAAGATTCTTTGTAATTTATGTTCCTTTCCCAGACGAAAAATGGTGATGATAAGAGAAAGAGCCCTAAGATTTGCTGAGCACCCAGGACGTATCAAGCTCTGTATGAGGTATTTTACCCATGTTATCTCATTGGATCCTGACAGCAATGTTAGCAGGCAGCTATGGAGCGCTGCTACCTGGACAGATGAAGGAAATGGCCTAGAGTCCTGCAGTCCTGCAGCTGATATGCAGTGGTCTTGGGGAATGAGCTGAGGTCTGTTTGACTCCAGAGTCTGTGCTATGTCCATTGTCCCTTACTGCCTGGAAGGGAACCAGGCCAGCATCCACTCCTCCAGTCTCCTCGGTATCCATGCGAGGTTCTTTTCCTCCGTGTCCAAGACTGAGTCATTATGGACAGAATCACATAGTTTCTACCATCTCAAATACATATAGTATATCACTCCAGACAAGGTCATTAACAATACATTCTCACTTGGCAAAAGTCCTAAAAAGAGGATAATATTAACTACAGCAAAATCTATCTCCATGACCACCCCAGAGACCAGCAAAAATCAATTGCCTAGTAAAGTTGGATCTTTAACAAAAGGTCAAAGACTCTACTAGAAACCACAGGTGGATACTTTAAAATGGTTACTTGAGGCAGAATGCTGCACACAGAGCGGGAAGGGGGGTCGCTTCAGGATGTGCTCTTTCTACTAATTTGCCCAGGTTTGACAAAACAATATTGTCTGTGATTTGGCTTCTCCTAAGTATGTATTTTACAGCACTGCAGGGTATCTTCCTGTTTCAACTAAGAAACAGTTATATTGTGTTTTTAGCAACCATCAACCCAATTCCGGGACATAGTTGAGACTGAGTAGATTAGTAATGTGCACACACACTATTAAGAGGCACAATTATTTCTTTCTCTGAGATTTGAAAGCCTGTTAATAAGCAAATGATCACTTATGGAAGGAACTTGGTAAAAAGTAGTTATAACCAGCAGATCTCTCATTTTTGCACCCAATTTTCATTATGGAGGTGGCAGTATAAGAAGTAATCAACTGAATAAGTAGTATGTTTGCAAATTACATTGGATAAGATGTGTGTGGTTTATGAGTACTACAAAATACAAATCTGAAAGAAAGGCTAGCATTAAATTGCATCTTTAATTCCTGGAAATATCATGGAGCCAATAAAGGGCAGGGCCAGTCAGGGCCTCCGTGTTTGGTTACAACATGTGCTGTTCATGCCTATGCATTTCTACAGAAACAAACCAGATGGAAATTTAGACCAAGGAACTTGACTCCTATCATTCAGAATCCATCTTCTGTATCTTTTTAATGCTGAAAAATTAAACATACCCAAAGTACAGAAAACAAAATAATAAACACTCACATACTCACAACCCAGGTCTGGCAATTGTTAACATTTTGGTATGCTTTCTTCAGCCTTTCTTTTTTTTTAATAAAAAAAAATAACCTTATAAATTTGACATCTGAGTTTTATATCAGCCCCAGTTCCATTTTCCTCTTTTCCTCTTCAGACAGAACTATTGTCATGAATTTGGTGTGTATCTTTCCAGTCTTTTAAAATAATTTTACATACATACATAATACATAGTATTGCTTTTGTGTGCTTCACTCATACTGTACACATTATTCGGCAACTTGCTTTTGTCAGTCAACATTGCATTTTCTGAGACCTATCCACGTTGATTTATAGAGAGATCCAGCTCCTTTGTTTTGTTTAGCTGTTCCATCATAGGACATATATTGCATTCAATTTATTCTTTTTCTTTTTGAAGGACATTTACATTTTCCCAATGTTTTGCAACTGCAAATAATGCTACAGTAAACACCCTTCTTCAAGTCCTTGGAACATATCCCCATCTACATAAGGACTAGCAAGGATGTGCCTTTCTTTGAGGTGCATGGAACGCTGTTGCCAGCATTAGGACATATTTCACTCGGTCCCTGTCTCCTACTCTCTTTCTAACAGGAGTCTCTGATCAAAAATAAAGGTGGATCCATCACATACAGCAGGATTAGGTCAGCAGTAAATTGTGAGCCATCAGCTTGTATAGATGGGGTGCGTCAATATGTTTTGGATTTCTTTAGAAATGCCCTGACACAACAACTTTCTTGTCACGTGCAATTTGTTAGGCAGCTGCATCCCCTTTGCAAATAGCATCCTTCCTCTTTGCTAGAAGGGGCAGCTTCTGGGTGGCAGATTTTCAATTTCTCTTCTCTCTGTCGTTTGCTGTTCTAGACATGAAATTTAAAGCAGCATCTCAAGGTAACAAATGTGCAGCCCAGAGAAATGGCATGGGAGCCCAGCAAGTCAGATATGCAGTGCAGGTGGAGAGGGGATAATGCATGAGTGAGAAGCAGAAAGATGTAGGGATACACATGGGGTCTGGAACCAGAAAAAAAACAACTGGATTTGATTCTAAATTCTGTTACATATTAAGTGAGGAACCCTGTGACTGGCACATTCTCTCTCCAAATTTCACTCTCCCTCTCTGTAAACTGTAAACAATAGCACTTACCTCAAACATCTTTGAGGATTAGAGCTAAGGTATCTAGTGCCTGGCACAGAATGGCAATAAATAAATAATAGATCTTAGGTAAACGTGATGATTATTTCATCTGACTTGATTACATGAGTAAATAGAAATGAAAACCTTTCTTAGCTAATATGAAGGAGGTCTCAGCATTTTCTGTTCCAGAGCTGAAGGTTATTCTTCCACTTCGTCTATGGAAATCAAATACATCTCATGTTCGGTACTGTCCCATGAAGATCAAGGGAAGAGGTTGGAGCACTAAACCTGGATTCAGGTAAGGGTTTGAGACTCATGAAACATGAGTGAATCTCTTTTCCTCTCTCCCAGGATCAGTTTGCTGTCCTACACAGTGCGAGTAAGAGATGATACCCAACTCATGAATCGCTGGAGGATTAAACAAGGCTTCCCAATCTGCACTCTATTGACCCACTCCCATTTCCACTTTCTACCTCAGAGTAAACATCCTAAAATATAAATACGACCCTGTAGCTCCTTGGCTTAAAACCCTTCAGTGGTTCCCCACTGCCTAGAGGGTAAGGTGCAAGCTCTTTAACTGGCACTCTAGTGCTTCCTCAACTCTATCCATGATCTGACTCCTACACCATCTCATTTTTGGTAGCTCCTCACCTGGTGTGTGCTCAGGGCTATTGAAGGAGACTTGCAGCTTTAGGAACAAGCCAGGCCATCTCTTGCTTCCATACCTTTGTCTAGGAGTCTTTCTTGGCCTGGAACACCCTTCAGCCCCCTTGGCCATTTAGCAAACATGTGTTCATATGTAAAGACTCAGCTCCAGCATCATGTCTTCCAGCAGTCTTTCCAGACCCCATGCTCAGTAGAGCTGATCACTCCCTCTCTTGTTTGCCACCTGCCCACATACTATCTCTTGCAACAGTACACAGAGCATGCGCTCATGTGTTGGCTTTCTTCACAAGAAATATGAAGCTCTTTGTGTCCTATACTTCTCTGCATCCTCAGAGCCTGATAAGAGGTCTTGCACAGGAGTCAGTGCTGTGGGTAGGGTTGCTATGATCCCTTGAAACCCTCCATTCCAGACACATTTCTTTGGATCCTGAATGCTTCTCTGTGTACACATAGTACACACTAGGAAGGCCTTGGCAGTTTGATTCTTCCGAGAGCCAAGTTGAAATTCTTGATAATTGTAATAGCTATTATTTATTGAGAGCCCTATGGGTAATGAATACTCATCATGCTAGTCTCCGGGTGGTACCCGATGGGGCCTAAGTGCTCAACAGAGCTGAGACCAAGGATATATCCAGTGAGTACTAGGCGTTCCTCACATTAAGTGAGAGGTTGCGCTCAGATAGCTTTATGAAATGAATAAATGGCATTAACAGTCCTTTTAACCAGGAATACTCACAAGGAGGCCTGGGGTACCTGAGGGCTTCGGCACCTCATGGTGGGGCTTCTTATGTACCAGGAGGATCCCTGAATTGCTAAGTCACTGGCACTTCTTTCACGGGAGCCCAAGTTTGAGCTTTCACTCAGATTAAGTTTGAGCTTTGACTCAGATATTTTCCTTAGCCTATTTGCATCTTACTAAGGAACACATACACACAAAAAAATGAAATAAATCATCTAGCATTTAACTGCTTGGAACATCTGGAGTGTGTGTGTGAGAAAGAGACCGAAACCCCCCCACCCCAAATTGGGTTGATGAGCAGGTAAAGCGTAGGTCACTCTCATACAGTAAAATCATTGATATGAATTGGCTCTCCCCCAACCCCGCCCTGCACAGAATAAATCTTTTGCATAAAGAATCACACTGAAGCTTTGTTCCGAATACATAACAAGGATCCTATTCTTTTTAGCATGACAAAATACAGTTAAACATGTCAGTTTCTTCTGAGAACTTTTGTTTAAGTCAGCTGCTTGGTTCCACAATAATTTGGAGAGAGTTGTAGATACTCTTTTATCAGATGCATGCAAATTGCTTCAAGAGATGTTCCTTATTCAATAGGCAAGCAACAAAGAGATGGTCAGCATCATGTGGCTTTATATTAATGATCAGGGAATCATTTGTAACTGCCACTTACCTGGAGCCAGGCAAACTGAGACAACACAGGGCAGTATAGAGAAGAAAGAGCTCTGCCTGTATTCTCCAAACCCACATCCTAGATGTCTTCATTTTCTCTAGGTGAGAAGAGATCCAGTTGAGGCACCTAGATCCATGAAAAGCCTGCAAGGGAGTGCTACCGTTAGTTTCTGTCCCCATAGTGCAAACATTTCAGCAAAGTAAACAGAACTAGTGATTGGAAATTCCTTAGACTTTGCACAGACAGAAAGTTTACCTGTGACTCTGGAAAGCAATGAAAATGAGAGAAAACTCTGCAGCTGCTTCGTTTTTATTCATATGTTTAGGATTTTTAGGTAAGCAGCTGAGAGGACAGGCTGTTAGTGGAGCAATAAGAATTGTGGGCTCTAAATCCAGGCTGCCTGGGTTCAAATTCTTTCTTTGTCACTTACTAGTTTTACAACCTTGAGCAAGTTACTTTCCCTTTATGCCTCAGTTTCCTCACTTGGAAAATGAGGAGTAAGTAAGTGAATGTAAGTTAAGTGCTTAGAACAGGCCAGTGTTGAGCACTCAGGCATGTGAGCTATTACTAGGTGGAAAGTAGGGTTTGGAGTCAGGCCACGTTTTGAATTCTCGTTTTGCCTTTTCTCAGCTATGTAATTTTTAGCAAGTCAGCAAGAGGCTGTCGAGCTCTAGAGCCCGTCTACGTGAATTCAAATTCTCTCTGTATGTTTCACTAACTGTGTGACCTGGTGCAAATTATTCATTTTTCTGGCCCCAAATTTCTTCATCTATAAAACAAGACTAACAATAGTACTCACCTCATGGTGTTGTTGTGAAGATTAGATAAATCTAAATATTTAAAGCACTTTGAACGGTGCCTGACATGTACTCTGTGCTCTCTCTATAAGTGACTGTCTCTGATTTTGTTTCCTCATAATAAAATTGTGAGAGCTATGCCTACCCATCAGAGTTGGAAGGGTCAGATGAGATAGTAAGTGTGGAAATGCTTCACAATAGGCATTATAAAAATGAGAACTATAAGAGAATAATTAACCAAATATGTGTGGTTGTTATATAATTTATGTAGAACTTCATTGTACATAGGGAGAAATAGATAGCTTCCCTGATCTTGTTGGGAAGTGAAGTGTAATAGACAATTGGCATGAGATGGAATTAACATTTGTCTCCACTATTTGCCAGTCACCCTAAGAACCACAAGTGTAGTGGCACCTGAAAGGAGTTCAATAAACGCCTTTGCCCTTAACCTGTCACCTCTTCCACATTAAAGGTCAGAGAAACCCGCCGTCCTCTCAGGCTGAACACAGCAAAGGCTTCATTCAGCAGGTGCTGCTCATGTGTGGTGAGTCGAATTTCTTTTATTTGAGCCTAGAAGAGTACTTCATCTTTTCACTATTCTGAAGAGTTCACTGATTATCTTGTCATTCTGTGTGGCCTCACCGTTAAACTGGATTAAAAGAAAACATCACACTAGGGCTCTCTTGAAATGGCATAATCCAAGCCAATGTTCACCTCAATACTTCTAGAAATGACTCCCAGATCACCTGTGACCAGATGTGGGATGGGTGTCTTCACACTTCTAGTTCTAGTAGGGACACAGGATGTCAGCCCTGACTCACAACGTGGAGATGGTACCTATCCTGCCTGTGTGAGAAGCACAGGAGTCTCGTGTGAAACAAGCATGGTGCAAACTCAAGACAACATGCTTAATGGCTGAGGCTCTCAAATGTACCGCCCTGAAAACCATTACTGACTTCTCAGAATCAACAAATTAAAGTCCAAACTGCACTAACCTGGCATTTATGAAACCAGTTTGCAGACTATAAGGGGCTGAATGAACATGATGGCTGGCCATCTTATTGGTGCTGATATTGTAGGCATGGATGGGAGGCTTCTGACGAGAAAGCAGCAGGCGACTTGTGGGTGGGCTAGAAGAAAGAACACACGATAGATGTGATGTCCTTAAACAGGCTATCTAATTTCTCTAAGACTCTATTTTCTCATCTGTAAAATGAGGATAATAACTCATTAATACCCACTTTATAAGGTTGTTTTGAGGTTTGAATATATAAAATGCTAAGCTGTTACCCTATTACCTGACACAGAATGGCGTAACCTTGAGTACTAGCCTGCCCTCCCATCTTGCCATGTCTGCCAGAGTACTGGGCTGGGGCTGGGAATACAAATAAGGAAGAGTAGCAAGGGGGTGGAGGGAAAGCCACAGAGGGCAGTAGACCCTTCACATTAATTGTGCTGGAATCTGGAACACAAGGTCTGCTGTCAGGCCATCCTGTGTGCATTCTAGTTATCATTAGCCAGCTCCAGCATAAGGTCCCATCTCACTGCTGCCCCAAAGCATGCAGTGACCTGAACTATGACACAATTGATTGTGGTAGTTAATCATTTGTAAACAAGCAGAAAATTGTGTTTCAAGACAGATTCACGTCCTCTCTCATGTCTGCCTACATTTCAGAGAAGTCATGTCCTTATAAGTTAGGGCTCCCCTTCCACATCCTCAGTCTGATGGACTCATGGGAAAACCTGCAAATTTTAGAGGTTATATAAATAACAGTGTTATATGAATGAATCATGTGCTCTCTTACCTCCAGATTTTTTGTGCATGTTTTTCCCCCTGCCCAGAATATGTGCCACTTGGCTAACTATGATTCATTATTTACATTTCTCAAGAAAGCCTTGCCAATTGACTCTCCTGGGATTCTTTGGTTCCAGATGTCCAATAGGTCTCCTGGAATTCCAGCCTCCTAGCACCCCCTGGTGGTTTCAGCTGCCACTCACCTGAGGTCATTCCAGGAAGATGGCAGCCTTAAGCTGCACTGATAATACACATATTTTTCAAGGACAGATCTTGTTTGATCTTGACATAACCCAACAAACTAAGCATAATCTACCATGCCTCTGAGATGGGGTTCCACAACTGGTTCCACAGCTGCTAAGTAGCAAATCTTTAATCAGATACAAGTTTTTTCTTTTCTTTTTTTTTTTTGATTCGCAATCTCTTCTTTTTGTAATTCCAAGACTTTATGCTCCTGTTAGGAAGTTCTAGGACTGATTTAGGCCTAGAACAACATCACCATCCTCTGGTCTAGTTGCTCTCACTGAAGGCTGTAACTTTCTTCTCTGACTGTAAAAGGACTTTTAAAAATGATCATGTATCTCTAGGTCTTTAAGTTATATGTAGGAATTAGTAGCTCTAGCTCTATGGATTGTCTAATGGTTTGTTGTTTATACAGCTTTTGATAACTAATTTTCTAATCTTCACCTAGTTCTATAATCACAAAATCAATACCACTTGTTTTAGGTTTTTGTTATGACAGCATTCCGCTCTTGATACCTATTTTTGTATTAGTTAGCTTTTGATGCATAACAAATAATCCCCAAATTTAGTAGCTTAAAACAATAGTCGTTTTTTTTTTTTTTTTAGCTTACAATCCATTGGGTCATCAAGTAGGTCTGGGCTAAGCTGAGTGGTTGTGCTGGTCTTGCCTGGGTTCACTGATGCAACCTCAGCCAGCTGGTGGGTCAGAGAGCTGGTTGACGCAAGATGGCCTTCCCTGCTTGAGAATTCATGCTGTCTGTCAGTAGGCGATGGCTGTTGGCAAAAGTGATGGGGTAATTGGGCCACATGTCTCCAAATAGACTAACTCAGATTTCTTCATGGTGTTCCAAAGAGCAGCAAGAAAGAACAAGCCTCGATGAACATGTGCTTTTTAAGCCTCCGCTTGCATTATATTTCTCATTGGCCAAAGCAATGAACTTACATTCAAGAAATGTAGATCATACCTGCTGATAGGAGGAAAAGTAGAGTCATTTTGCAAGGGGTGTGCATAGAAAATTGGAAAGAATTTGCAGATATTTTGCAGTTTACCACAGACATGTACCACTTTCATGCTGAAGCAGTTCAAAGCCAGTGTGCTTTCTTCGTTTCTTTCTTTTCATGTCCTGCTAATTAAGAAGCATGCGTTGAGATAACAGTGTCTTATGGTGGAGGGAGCCTACACTTCTGACTCCCTAGCTGTAGGAGAGCCCTTGCTGACCCACAAAGAACTTAATGAGTGAGAATTAAACTTTTGTTATGCTATGTCATTGAGATTTTGTGGTTTATATGTTCCTGCAGCAACAACTACTCTATCCTAATATACTCTTGTGTTACATACAAAATTTGGTGTATATGTACTTTTTTTTCTGGGGAAAAGTCCATAGCTTCCCTTAGATTCTCAAAAATCTGAAATTCAAAAGAAATAAAAACATAACAAAGCCAAAAGAAAAAATTCCCTTAAGAGATATAACTTTTTTAGCTCAGAAAATTATCTGGGGTCCCTTTGAAGGTAATATGGAGTAGTCTGAAGTGTTTGGGACATCAGATAGACCTATACTAGCATTTCATTTCTCTTATTTATATCCCTGACAAATTAGTTTATTTCCTGGACAAATTCCTTAAGCCCTTAGAGCAGTGATTTCCCTAGTTTAAAAAGCAGGCTTGTCGAAATAATGCTCCAATAATTATTTATTGAGAGCCAACTAGATGCCAGGCACAATGCTAGGTGCCTGAGTATAAAGATGAATGTGTAATAGACCTTCTCTATAAGAGTTGATAACCTGGTGAGAGGGATAGACACAGTAATGATATATCGGGGCAGCATGGTATGACGGGTGCAGTGATAGAGATCTGCAGAGTATGGCTTAGGTATAGTCAAATGTGTGTGCATGCATGTGTGTATGCATCAGTGTGTGCGTGTGCATGAAGGTGTGTGTGCATGTATGTGTACATGTGTGTAGTCATTGGAAAAGATTTCTCAGAAATGTTTGAACTGGCCCTTAAGAAGTGAGGGGGATTTAGCAAACCAAAGAACCAAAGGGAGGGCATGTGGCATTATAAGAGAGGAGCCAGCAAAATCAAGACACGAAGGTGAGAAATCGTACAGTATTTGTAGGGAACTGTGAGCCATTCCGTGTTGCTGGAGCATGAGTTCAATATGAGTAGTAGAAAGAAATGAAACTGGAGAGGCAAGCAAGAGCCATATCATGTAGGACCTCATGGGCAGTGCTAATGATATGGGTTTCATTCTAAATGAAATGGGGAGCTCTTGGAGCATGTTAAGAGGTGAGGGGAGGGGGCAGCT